GAGGTAATTGAACTAACTTCTAGGGATAATGGGGGGAATGATTATAAAATTTCATGAAGGGCAAAATAAATATGTTTTAAAATATGGTTTTTTTAAAAAAATAAATGTAGCTGCTTTGTAAAGAATGAGTCAGTGGATATAAACATGACATGGAGAACGTAACAGAGATTGTGTGATAGTCTGCATGGCATATTGGGGGTGCAAATGAAGGTGGTGACTGAGGATTTTCAGGTGAACTTGGTAAATGCCATGAGGAGCCCAGCTTTCTATCCCTGGTAACAGGGTAGGTAGATAGACTGTAGTTCACCTACAGATAATTTGTGGGGATAAATCGATACATTTATTTTGGCACATAATTGCCTTTGTGTTCACTTTGTTGGGCCATGTCACATCATCCCAGCAGATGCAACCCAGCTGCAGGGCATATTGAGGGAGATGAAATCTGGATTTCTCCTCCGCCTTCAAGGGCACGTTTCTGTAATCTTATTTGATGGGTCTGGGTCATGCTGTGTGTCCTGCTTCTGCAGTGAGGGGGAGGGAAACTAGAGACAGTCCATATCTGGTAGTGAGATGAGAGTGGAGAGCAATGATCGAGCATTCCATTTTGGCCATATAAAGTTTGAGTTCCCCAATGGTTATGAATAGGTGATGTCAAGCATAAATTTGGGTATACCCTTGAGATTTGAGGAGAGCAGAGGACTACAGTGAATAAATGTTGAAGGTGTTAATTATCAGGTATTTAAAGAAAGGATGTGACCACATACCAGGGAAAGGTGAAACCCAAGGTAGTGATTTAAGAAATTTGTAAATGTAGAGTTAAATGCAAAATTCAGCTGCAAGAGCAATACAAAAGCTGAGACTGAGAGGAAGAGACTGAAGTAGATGGAAGCTGGGGAAGAGCAGCCATCCTTCAGGATTCTCAAAAAGCAAGGAAAGCGTTATTCTGGAAAAGGGTAATGGACACTGTGTCAAATCCTGTTGAAAAGTTGAATTCCATGAGGCTAACCTTCAGCTGCTTGACTTTTACCAGATTTCAGAGACTGCTTTGGATAAAAGGCAGATAGAAGGAATAGGAAAATGAATAGGGGGAGGGGAAGGTGTGACCACCAGCAGCTATTGCTCCATAAATTTTGCTACATATCTCAGAGAAATGGGACAGACGTTGAAGAGCATGTGGAGAAAATAAGGGCACTTCTCTAGGATTGAGGTGACCTGATCCTATTTCAATGAGATGGGACTTATCCCACATTCTTTCCTCCAGGAAGATTCTGCGCACAGACCAGGCACACAACCTATGTGTTTCCTAAGCAACATGACCAACTATTGATATATCTCCCTCTGGAATGGGCCACACATGCTATCCTGAGGCTGTTTGAAAATATTGGCATTCTCAAGCCAATACTGTCATTAAGGAAGATCCTTCCCTGGAGTGGGCAGCCTGTTAACGTTCCTACTTACTGACAGCTATTCTGAGCTCACCATGTTCATGGTGGTTCATATCTTTCGGAAAACCTCTGTATGTGATTCAAGAGGTGAGAAAGTAATTTCTTTCGAAATAGACTAATACCCTCCTCACTCCCCTCCCACAAACATACTCAATCTGATATTCTGACCTGCTGTAAAAAAAACATCTGGGCCCTCCCTGGTGGCGCAGTGGGTTAAAGCACAGCACTAAGAAGCTAAAGTCACTTCCGCTTGAGTTCAATCCCCACCTGCCCTGAGGTGATCTACATGATGAGGCAGACCTCTCCTGACCTGCCTGCTGCTCCCCTCAGCAGTGTACTTCATCCATCTGCCTGTTCTGCTCCCCAATCTGCCTCCGGTGAATCCTCTCATCGTCCCTTCATCTCTGGCCTGTACCCCAGTCTGTATGCATAAATAAATAAATCTTTAAAAAAAAAGAAAAAAACATCCTCCTTCTATCTCGAAGAAACTGTCCTCGAAGATAGAAAACATGGCTCTGGTGGGAAGGTGACATGTTGGCTCACACACTGTTTGGTAGAGACTCCTGGAAGTTTTCAGTGAGTCGCGGGTGTGGTTACAGACAAAGAGTACATCTCTGTACGTGTTCAAACAAGTGTGTGTATTTAAAAACACTACAATGACACCCAGTTTTCACATGCTCCTTTTTTACTGGCTTTTGCTTCATGTGCTCAGAGATTGGGTCCCTGTCTCAGCTTCACATATGCTTGTTTTCCAGCAACAACAGAAGCAGCATCTTGGCAGGGCTCTGTGAGGTTCACCCTGCCAGGAAGCCAAGCACCCCCAATGCTGGGTTCCTTCGCTGTTCTGGGACAGCACGTGGAGAATGTAGGTTGTGTGTCTGACCTGCCCCCAGCTGGGTACACTCACTGTCAGACGACACTGTGGCCCAAGAATTATTCAGAAGGAAAGGCTGTCTGTGAGCTCTGAGGAAATGGTCGCCTGATCCCAGGCTCCGGATCAGTTCTCTGTATCAGTCTCTAACCAACAGCTAATTCTGTCTCCTCCTGCCACTGATGGGCATGATTACTGTGGGCAGCAGGTAGAACAGATGTGGTAGCAGAGGGCTGTGCGCTGCCCAGAGAGAGAGGGAGCCACAGCACTTCATTCTCATGACTCAAGCTCAATGGCTTCCTTCTCTCTGGCCAAAGACAGGTCAGGAGGGATAAAATTATCAACACAGGAAAGAGAAGAGGTTTACGGATTTTGCTAATTTTACACAAATAGATGAATGGAAAGGTTGTTCCTCCCCCACCCCCGCCCTTGTCTCCTGTGAACTTCCTTAGCATTGTGTATTACTTATTCCTTCTTTCAGAAAGAGTCTAGTGGGACTTTGTATGTTGTGGCTGTTGAGTGCCTTGTGCAGGTGTGTTTATAAGGCAACACTCCCTCTTATAAGGCAGTTGTTTTACTGCAGCATCTCTTCCTCTTCCCTCTCTCCCTCCCTCCACCCTTTTGCTTTTCTTTCTTTCAGGCCTATATATATTTTTTAAAGATTTATTTATTTATGTGTAGAAAAACTGGGGTATAGGTGGGTAAGGGGGGTGAGATGATTCACCAGAGACAGATTGGGGAGCAGAACAGGTGGATCTGCTGAAATACACTGCTGAGGGGAACAGTGGGTGAGACAGGAGAGGTCTGCTGTGCTGTGTGGGTCACCTCCCTGGCTGAATTGAACTCAGGCTGTGGCAGTGACAGTGCTGAGGCTAACCCCTGTGCCACCAGGCAGGCCTTCTTTCTTTCTTTTAGCTTTCTGAGTTATAATTTACACACCACAAATTCACTTGCATATATAACCATAGGTGCACTTTTTATTTTTTGGTTTGTACCTTACTTCTTTTGCTTAATGCCATGTTTTCATTTTTATCATGTTATAATATGTGAGTACTCTGCTCATTGTTATGGTTGAATGGTATTCCATTGTATGGACAAACAACTTTTGTTTCTTCCTTCCTCAATTAATTGACATTTAAGTTGAATCCACTTTTTCACTAGTATGAATCAGTGCTGCATGAACATTTGTGTAAAAGTGACAAAGTTGTCCATTTTTTTCTGAGGTAGCATCTTAGAGGGGAGCTGGAACTATCTCACATGGCAAATTTTTGTTTTGGCAGTTCAGAAACTGCCAAACTATATTCCAAAGTTTCTGGATAAATTTAATTTCCATCAGCAATGGATGAAAATTATAATCTCTCCACAGGCTCCACACACTTGTTACCTTGTTTTTTATATTATGGGCCTCCTGGTACTGATGAAGTCTGTGTTTTGTTGTAGAAGTTCTATTTAAGAAACTGAGCCTTTCTGGATGTCAAGTTCTGCTAGACTTTGCTACTGACAATATATTTTGAAGAAAGATATCTAAATTTCTGTCACATAAGTCTTCAGCCCTATATTAGACTTCAGTTAAAAATGAACCTCCCCCACCCCCACACACACAACAAGGTATTTTTAGAACTTCATATTTAGGAAACATTGCTTGACTAGCTCATATGGAGGTATGTACGTTTTTGCTTGTATTAAGTAATATCAAAATTTTCTTAAATGGTTCGACTTTGTGTTAAGATGTTTTCGCTTATAGACCATTTTTTAAACCCTTTCTGCTTGGTTTGGTTAGTTCATTTGGCTTCTTCATAGGACTATGAAGTCCAATATTCCAATATTAGCAGAACTCCTCAGTCCTTCCATGGCTACAGACCACACAAATGAGTGCCTTTGGTCACAAGTAGGTGTGGTGGGATACACGCCAGGGTCAGCACTGCAAGGAGCCTGGGAAACAGATGTGACTGTTCCGCTGACACTTAATTTTATTTTAAGTAGTTTATTTAGAAATTAAGGCTGTTAAAACTCTCCCGTGCACTTCATTGGTACATATATTTATTTTCAACTACTCATTTTGCCCAGCTTTTCCAGGGCACGTCAGAGGATATACTGTGAGGTAAGATCTGTGAACAAATTACTAATATAATAATTACCCAAGACTTATACAAATAAATGTTAGCTTGCTGAGGAACAAAATGAGGGACACTTGGATTGGACTTTCAGCCTGGGTAAAATGACAATAGAGAAGTGAAAGCCATCTTGGAAAGGGAAAAATGCACAAAGGCAGGAAAAGTACAAAACATTTCAGGTTGCTTTTGATGAATTATTTTGACTGAATCAAGTAATCTGAATAGAGAGGAGACAAAACATGTTAGTTAATATAGATAAAGTCTTAAATGTTCAACCAAGAAGTCACACAGTTTGCTAGCAAGAATAGGCAGTCAACTAAGACCATTGAGAAGGTCAGCATGGGACAACATGGCAGCCACCCGCCCTCCGCTTCCCCTTCCCTCTTCCTCCTCCCATTTCTCTCCCCCCCCCCTCCTGGAGTAGGGAGGGCAGGAGGTCTGGAGAGTGCTAGTCAGCCGCCATGGCTACTGTCCAGGAGGGGAAGTGAGATCACAGCCTGAGCAGGGCGGTGTCCTGAAAATACCAAGGAAAAGACCAGTGTGAGAGCAAAAGAAGAAGGGAGGGCAAATCACAGCCGGGGCATGTGCCTGGCAGACAGAGGGCAAAATCAGGAGGACTGAGATCTCTGGATGATTCTGGTTGTACTTTTAACATAGTAAGTGGAGAGGAGAAAATAGCAAGTTCAGTTTTGGACAAGTCTTCTTGTAAGTGACTGGAAAAGGAAATTTCGGCTGGCATTTGGAAATGCATTTGCCTAATACAAATCAAGCATCTAATTTTTGAAAGGTTAATCAAATTTATTCACTCTGGATCCTTTCTTTCCCACCCAGGAAAAATGAGAATGAGTCACTCTGGAAAGCTCCTGCCTGGAGGAAACCGCAGATGCCACTTCTGTGGGGTCAATTGTTCCCCTGCAGCATGACAAACGAGGTAATTTGAAACTTCCAAACACAATCCAGCCTCTTTGTCTTTTCAGGGCAGGTAGGAGGAAGAGGTGAAGTGTTTACAGGCTTCTGCTTTATCTGCGGCTGCACTTGCTTCTGTCTCCCGCCGACATTCCCCCTGCCTTCCGGTCCCACGGGACAACCCCGAGACTTCTTCCTCTAGGCAATAAATATAAAAGTCTCCCTGAAAGGAAAGCCTACTTCATTCACGCAACACACAGTCACTCTTCTAGCAGGTGTCGCGGAAAGTTCAGCGAGTGCCAACGACCCGCTTGGAGCCCCAGGCTGAGCCAACGCGGACGGCGGCGGGTGGGCGGGGACACCGCGTCCAGCTGCGGCTTCTCCTGGAGAACAATGCAGCTGTCACCCGGTGAAGGATAGGACTGTGACGGAGGCGCACGTCTGTCCAGTCTGCCCACCAGGAGACTTGTGCACCTCCCACTGCTCTTGGGCAAAGAGCCAGCAACAGGGCCTTGGAAAGTTTTTGACCGGGACAAACCAGTCAGGGAGGATCCATGCAAGAAAGAGAAACATCCAGGGCTGATTGTGCCCCACGGGCAAGAATGCACAGACGCGAGTCACTGGCTTCACCTCTGGGTCTGGGGGTCTCCTACCTTCCTCCAGCTGCCTACAGACAATCAGCAGAGAATGGAGGCAGGAGATAAGCCCTGCAGCCACGATGGGAGAAGCCACAGATGCCAGAGGATCACTGAGGAATCCTGCTGAGGGCTATTCCCTGCTTTGTTGCTGGCTCCTGCCTTAACCTGCTCTTTAACCTCAGGCACCCCCTTTGATTGTTCTGTCACTCAATTTCCCCTTTTCATCAATCCTCCGATGGCTTCTAGAACATAAACAGAAAGTAAGGTAGCAAAATATCAATGATTTCCATCACCTAGGGGAAGGCTAGTGTTTGGAAAGATGAATTATAAAGAAAAAAAATACTTGCAAATGTGACTATATGCATACATGTAATACACACACGCATATGTATTCCAATAAGATTATTTGGTAGATTCAGTAGTTCCTAATCATAAAATATGGCTGGTCCTTTAGCTATCATTACACAACTAAATTTATCAGGAACATTTCATTTGTGGTTTTAAGCACTCACCTTCTAAACTTGTTTCTATTTTTGTTTTGCCGACACCCACCAGGTATAGTACTTCGGTTCATTTGAACCCAGGCTCACCTCACAAATCTTTTGTTACTGAGGTACTGACAACATTATAAAGAAGGAACAAACCTTCATCAAGACCTCAAAATTAACTCAGGGTCAGAATTGGAATGGTTCTTAGGCCTGGACTTCCAATTCAGTACATCATGTGACTTCTTCATGGCCTGATTCTATAACTAGATCATAATTTTCTGGAAGACAAGACTGTCTTACCTCATTAATTCTCAACACTGAGAACTGCCCCTTGCATGAAAAGTATACTCAGTAAGTGCTGCTGTTGAATGAGTTGGTTTCTCTAAAATCCCAGGGAGATAAAGAGATGAATAAAGAGAAATAAGGAAATATTTAGTGTTACAAGGGGGAAAAGAAATTCCACTACTCTATAAAGTACAAGGGAGGGTAGAAAAAGAGGCAGACAACACTTTTATACAGATAACCATAGGAACCGTAGGAACATTGTTGGACCGGCACCTCCCACAATTCTGAGAAACATTTCCATGGCAGGAAAAAGATGTGAGCACATACGGATGAGGTAAGTTTTAAGAGAAGGGTAATAGATGATTTTGGAAGAAATGTCTGGAAAAGAAAGAGTACTTCTAGCTTGATTTTACAGTACCAATATTTTAAGTAGGTCACAGGTAAAAATACAGTGTCCAGAATATTCAGAAATCAAATGGGTGCCAGAAGGGGGTAAAGAAATGCAGTAATGTGGTAAATCAGGTGAATGAGACTCTTGATTATTTTAATCAGGAAAACATAACTTTGAAGGAGACATGTGTTAAGAGATACCAGAAAATATTCTGCCAAACAAATTTATAGTGGAGAGAGAAATTTTCTATCAATTTTCTGTGGATGTACAGGAAGTAAGATGAGGTTGGTATGAGGTTAATAGCCATCAAAATATATATGGAAGTACAATATTCCCATCTGGTTAGGAATGGTAGATTCCATATGAAAAAGCAGATAATAAAAAAGGTCAAAGGACAACCACATTAAATTTCCCCAGAAACAAGGGCTATGGATACAAGAAGGAAGAATCCAAAGGAAGGGGGAGAAAAGACAGGGAAGACTAAGAAGGGGTAGAAGATGGACTTTGCACATTTCTGAAAGTACAATGGAACCAGCACCTTGCACACAGCTGTTTCTTGAACAAGGACTTTCCACTTACAAGCTCATGATCAGGAGAGACCAAACTTAGGGTCACAGATCTACCTCTTTGACACTTTTATTTTCACTAGAAAAGAGATGGGATTGCCTGGGGATACTGGGCACACCTCTGCTCTACTGTCAGCTTGATTGACTTGACTTGGACTCAAGTTTGCAGAATTCTGCTTCTGTTGTTTGCACTTGCCATCCGGAATTCTCAGGCTTAACCTGACACCACTCCATACTGCAAAGCAGCCAGAACGTAGACATTGGCCAGCATGGCTGCAACCTCTTCTGCCCTCCCTGCTTATGTTTGGGAGCTGTTCTCCATCGCTCAGGACTGAGTACATACATGCATTGCTTGAGGAAAAAAAGTAAGTTTTGCACAACCAGGTGGGAGAATTAGAAATTGTGGATGACAAATGGAACATGGAAGATATTCTCTGAAAATGGGGAGGAAAGTCTGTGAAAGGAAAAAAGATAATGGAAACAATGATAATTCCTGTGGAAACAGAGTAAGGGAAGGATAGTGACAGCTAGCAAGCCCCTTGTACCCAGCATCTGGGAAAAGTGGTAAGGAAGACAGAGCTTGACTCAAAGAAAAATGGCTACTTGTTCAGACCCACAGCTTTTGTACCTAGCACATTAGCTGACATAACCAATGCTCAATAAATATCAATACTTATGGACTTAACTCTTCACATATTTTCCAAATAAAAAACTGAAATCAGGAAAAAATAAAATGGCGTCTGTAATATGTGACAGAAACAATGATAAAGAAATGTGAGGTTAATGGCGGTTAACTGAGACAGACCTCTGGCAGTGTTGCATTGAGACCCTGAGTGCCAACGGCACAGAGACAACAGAAGAAGCACCTCCTAATTTTATGAGGGAAGAAAGTCAACCACAGACAAGTTAAATATTCTTCCAAAGCATATATTGACTAGTGGCAAAGAAAAATCTTACATTTGGAAACCTAGAACCGAAATTTGACTGTGAACTAAAAGAACAGCATCCTATGTGGACTGGAGAGAGTATCTGGAGTGGAGAGAGTGTCTGGCTTTATTGGCAGGAGACCATGTTCATGTCCTGACTGTTGCCTCCTGTGTGATAGAGGTAAGTCATGCCGTACTTGAAATTCTTATATGACCTAAAACATTGAGAAGGCCGTAACCACACTGAGACTCCTTCACAAAATTATGAAACCCGTTGAGACAGTATAACAAAAGGCAGTACACCGTAAAGCCCTTTCAAAAGTGAATTATTTTCACAATTATTTATTATCTTTTAGTACCTGGGCAAAAAAGCTTCACTTACATAGAGTAACTTTCCTTTATTGTCATCCAAAATCTATGTGTGAACGTGGAGACACTTTTAAAGATGTAAGACATAAAATCTCAAGTGATAAAGAAAAGACATATGGTCTACATATATTCATAATTTTCAAAAAAACTTCATGGGAGAAATATTTTGCCTGCCAACCACATGACAAGTCTTGTTCAGATGGAATTTAAAACTTTTTCTATTTAAATTATTTCACATATAGCTATATGCATGTAGTTTCACATAATTTATCTGTAGTTTTTAAAGTAAGCATATATCACCATATGAAGATTTATGACCTTCAGTAGGGTAACTAGATTTTAAATGATACTAATGATATGTCCTCTCAGAGAAGCAAGTAGTTCAGGACTCCTTTTACTGTGCTTTGTAATTATTGTTGATACCAATTGAATAAGGAGAGGGAAAAGATGGTGAAAAGAGCTTCAATCTTTCTCCTCGAGTTATGACCCACCCAAAATTATAATGGCAAAGTTGACTCTTCTTAAAGAAAAAGTGATCTTTAAAAGGGCATGCTAGTAAAACAACATAGTGACAAATGGCAATTGTATTATAAAAATTGAACATAATCCCTGCAGCTATTTTAAAGGAAATTTAGACATAAGTTTAGATCTGAAAGAGATCAATGCAAATACATGCTGAGAAATCCTAAAATAGAAATCTAGAAAGAAATTCTGTCGAGTTGAAAGTCACTGGTTAAGATTTACAAAAGGGAAAAAGATGTTGGTTATTGATTTGCTCTGCCTTTCAAAAAATGAATGCTTAATGATTATAAAAACAAGAATAAATCACAGAGGAGAATTTGGGGAAGTAAAATATGCTGGGTTACAGAAATGTCTGATGCAAGAGATGAAGGTACAAGTGATATGAAAATATAATGGTTTAGAAAGACAATAAATATTCTTAGAACAAAATAAATGTTGGAATCAGAAATATTAAGAACAAAGAGGAGACAGTTAATAAATAAGGGAAGTCATATAACTTACAGAATGGAGAAATGACAGAAGAAATTATGTAAGAAAAATCACCTAACGTGGAATATTGTTTGGTTTTTTGCTATGTGTGAAGGTTTGACATTTCAAATATTAAACAAAAAAAGTAGCTAGTAACTTAAACAAAAATGAGTGTAAAAGTCAATATGATCAAATATGATATAAGATTTTTCAAAAATGGTGAATTTAAGAAATATCTAAGTTGCTACAGGAGCAAAGAGGATAACTTCATACCAAATGTAGACATTTTCCTAGTTTCAACCTCTATGGAGGTTCAGATGATCACAAAAAAATGATTTTAAAAATAGCCAGGATATAACCGGAGTCCCAAAG